AGAGAGACAGAGAAAGGCAAATTGAGAGAAAGAAAGAAAGAGAGTGAGAGAGAGAGACAGAGAGGGAGAGGCATACATGGAGAAACACCGTATCTTCTCTCTGGTACATTAAGGGTTAAACTCGAAATGCCATCGCAGGCTGTCCTTAACGCAGCCACACCCCCTCCTGATGAAAGAGGAAGTCACCCAGAGCAAAGTCACACTCAGCTTGTGTCATTTGCCCTCTCAGACCACAGGCCAACAGCCCCTTCCCCTTCTGCCAGCTCCTGTTCCAACCCTGTGACATGAGCAATGTGGTGAGACACTAACACTTAGACAATCTCATTACCCCAAAGCTTCCAGACACACCGTCACCACACACTGCTAACCATCACAGCCTCCACTGCCAATCCTCAACGCCCTGCACCCAGTGCTTAATATCAATGGGGAAGTCTGCCCAAACATTCCCCTGACCTCTCCGCTGTTGCGTTTCCTTGTCTTGAGGGTCTACCTTCTCCCCACCCCACCTGACCCCAACCGCTCCCTCTCCCCAGCTTCAAACAACAGCCTGATTTTATCTATTGTGTTTGTAACTCCCTTCCTCTTAGTACCTCCCACGGCCTGCCTGCCTGTAGTGACTGAAATCTTTCCCTTTGTTAAAAAGAAACTTCCTGCAAACTATTCCACAAGGTGGCTGCATTCCGCCATCCGGAACCATCCCCCGCCCCAACACTCCACACCCCCACCATTAATCTCTCAAACCCCTCTTCAACACCGCCCCCACCCCAGTTAATCTCTCAAATCCCTCTTCAAGGCTCATTTCTCTTCCTTTTCCGACCACTTCCCACTCCAGCTTCAGCTCTTTAAATCCATTTTTTAAAAAAAGAATCTACTGCCTTTTCCCCTCTCTTCCCCCCCGCCCTCCCCACTGAACTATCCATCAGATAGTCATGTCGGAGGGTCAGCGCCGAGGGAGCGGCGTGCTGTCAAAGGAGCTGCACTTTAGAAGGGGTAACATGATAAAATCCAGACGGTGGTGGGGGGAACAGACTGATTGCTGCTGGGCTGGCCACAGATTTCTGAACACGTCCTGCTTTGGAATGTGATTGTGAAGCCTCATGTTGACAAAATAGCCCAACAAGCTCATCCCTGAGCAGGTCTCAGATAGAATCTGCAAGTAGCAGATTCTTCAGTTTCCAACCTTTGCAAAGTTTCCAGGCCTGCACACCTCCCACCCTCACTCTCAGCAGACAGAGGCGGCCTCATCCTAATCTAGTCCCAGGCTTCCTACCCCTACACAAGGCCCAAGGACTCCCAACAAGGCAAGCTCCACCAGCTCCCAAATCTCTGTCCTCACAGGCTGCCTTCACAAAGGCCCAGCTCAAAAACGACCAGTGTTTATTCCCAGCTCTCGCGCGGTTCTTTGTCACTCCCCCACATGAAGCAGTCACAGGGCATTCTGGCCTCAAGGCTGCTCCCCCAACATTGATAAGGGATGGCATCACCTCCCTGGCGAAAAGAAACAATTATCGAGGACAGATTTCTGACAAAAAAAATCCAAACAAAAATGCAACTGTGCGAGAGGGAGGGCAGCAAAGCAAGGAGAGAAGGGGAGAGGGTGGGCGAGGGAGAGACAAGAG